GGGAAAAAGGAAGAAAAAAATAAACCCTGTCATAGAAGGCTGCTGCAGAATATTCTATGTTTACATGAGATCATCAACATAGTAAATGAATTAAAATTTGGATTTTTGTATTATTGTTTTTGGTTAACTGTTTACAGAAGAAATATATTTTTTGCCAAAAGGGGTATATGAAGGATTTTTGTAAGCCAAATAATAATAGTAATAAAAAGGAAGAAAAAAATAAACCCTGTCATAGAAGGCTGCTGCAGAATATTCTATGTTTACATGAGATCATCAACATAGTAAATGAATTAAAATTTGGATTTTTGTATTATTGTTTTTGGTTAACTGTTTACAGAAGAAATATATTTTTTGCCAAAAGGGGTATATGAAGGATTTTTGTAAGCCAAATAATAATAGTAATATAAATTCTTTCCTAGGAAGCAGAGATTTTTAAAAAAATATTGTACCATTGCTATTTATTTTGTTTCTGGGAAAATAACCATGCTGGATCATTTCCTCCACAATTAATGTTGTCCCCATTTTCTAGCATCAGTGGGTATCTGGTTGTGGGATGTTTTCTTTTTCTGTTTTGTTTTGGGTTTTGTTTATTTCTTAAGAAAAGTTCTGATGATTAATAAACTTTTAGCATTTTGCAACTTTTGTGCCTTCTGCTTGGTTTTTTCCATTTTACTGAATCCTTCACAAGCAGTTTATTTACTACCCCCCTCTACTGTAGCCTTTTTTAACCAGCCCCAGGTCAGAATGTCACTGGGTGTAGTGGCTTTCCAGTCTTCATTAGAGATTTAGAAGGGTGCTTTGTGCAGGTGGTGCTAAGCATTAGTTGCTAGCCCTGGATGCAATAAATGTGCACATTTTTTGTAATTAACAGAAGTTTCTTTACGAGGACTCACAGAATGGAAGTTGCGCAAATGTCACCTGTTTGCAGACTTTAAGGTCTACTGTACCACAATCACCTTGCCCCCTTTAATATAATTTTCATGGATGTTATTCTGATACGACACTTGTAACTGACCTGCATACTACCCGATAGCAGCCTGAGCAACACCAGTATGTCATGTACCACAATTTGAGAATTGTTGCGCTAGGATCAACATTTTCAACAGTCCCAATAAAAGATAACCCCTAGCTTAGTCCTTGGACCAGCCAACCGAGGGAACACTAAGGCTGTGTCTACATTGGCGCAATCTTGCACAAAAGCAGCCGCTTTTGCTCCAAAACTTGCTGCCTGTCTACACTGGCCATGAGTTCTTACGCAAGTTCACTGATGTTCTAATGTATGAAATCAGTGCTTCTTGCACAAGAACTATGATGCTCCCATTTAGGAAGAACCCCACTTGTGCAACTGTTCTTGCGCAAGAGGCCAGTATATATAGGCACCGTGAATTTCTTGCACAAGAAAGCCCTATGGTTAAAATGGCCATCGGAGCTTTCTTGCACAAGAAAGCATCTACACTGGCATGGATGCTCTTGCGCAAAAGCACATCTCTTGTGCAAAGGCACATGCCAGTGTAGATGCTCTCTTGTGGAAGAGTTTTTGCACAAGAACTCTTCCGTAAAAGAGATTTGGGCAAAATCATGCCAATGTAGACGTAGCCTAAGGCAACTGTGTCTCCTCAGGTGTGTTAAGTACTGCAACAGTTTACTAACGGAAGCTGGGGAATCCTGTCAGTGGAAGTCTATAATAACAAGTTAGCCAACTTCTGGTCAGGAATGATCTAGGTCAGTGTTTCCTAAATAGTGTTCTGCGGAACCCTAGGGTTCCGCAAAGTGAAAATGAAGGTTCCACGACAAAATTCCATTACAACCCAAATTACTATAATACAATGGAATTTACATTCATTTATTAATTTTATTGAGAACAATGTTCATTTGTGTTTGCCAGATTAGCCAAAGAGTGGGGGCGATGATGTCACTACTCAGCGCTGGGCGTGCAGTCAGTCGGGGGTTTTGCAAAATTCTTTCACGTTCAGAAGGGTTCTGTGGTCAAATAAAATTGGGAAACAGCGATCTACGTACATTTGGTCCTGCCTCAATGCAGGAGACTGCACCAGATCATGTCTTTTATGCCCTTCAGACCCTGCACTCCCATGATTCTATGAGTTTTCTCAGACTTAGCTCCCGGGCTGTTCTTCTGGTGCATCTCTTGTTTACAGGGCAATAAATATTGGGCTGCAGATCCCACCAGTCAGAGTTCAGTCCTGTGTTATCCTAAGGGCCCCCTCAGCATTCTCTCTCATTGTTGGTGAGTGGCAGTCTCACACTTCCAAACTGTTCCGGTTCCATATCTCTGCTGCTTCCAGCTCCCTGCCAGCCATCTTCCCGTATCCTTGTTTGGGTCTTTTTTTTTTTTTTTAACCCAAACACTTTGTCTCAATTTTCAGGTCTGCCTTCCTTTCATAATCAGCTCTCTGGCTGCTACCTGAGCATTCTGGTCACCTTCACAAG